GAATGGACAATTGAGTGGGAAGTATGTGTAGTAGGATGTAGATTTGAGTTAGGACCACATTATGACTTCCATGGGTCCAAAACCCTTTTGCCTTTGTGGACCTCTCCTGCAGAATAATACCAGTATTAAAACTTATGTTTCTGTAACTTCATTTTTTTATTTTTGTGTGTGTGTGTGACCGGTAAGGGGATCATAACCCTTGGCTTGGTGTCGCCCGCACCGTGCTCAGTGAGTGAGCACACCGCCCATCCCTATATAGGATCCGAACCTGCCGCCTCGGCGCTCCCAGTGCCACACTCTCCCAAGTGAACCACGGGTTCGGCCCTGTTTCTGTAACTTTAAATAGTTCTATATATATAGAGAGAGAGATTTTTATTTATTTTTATTTTTTAAAATTTTTTATTTATTTTATTTTTTATTTTTTATTTTTTTCCCCAGGCAAAATGTATTAGGTTTTGGGTGCCCTACAAATTTCCCTTTTTATTTTCTAATGTGAGAAAAAAAATTCAAACATTTTCTTGGGCTTCTAGAAGTTTTGTGGACCCCAGGCCCTGCACTTCCTGTGCCTAAAGGCTCATTTAGCCAGATTCCAGGGGAAGGAGAACATCTTCAGCCTGCAGCACTGGTTGTGGAGCTGGTGATGATGGAGCAGCTGAGGATCAGCCTTGTTTCCATGGAGCTATGTCTCTGATCCCAGAGCTGATTGGTGTCAGATATTTGGCAAAAGTCCCTCCAGTTTGCTAGTGCATATATGTGATGATTGCTTGTCTGCTATTCTTCTAAATGTTGCAACTTGAAGCACAGGAAAGAACAATGAGCTAGAGTCCAGAAGACTAGGACTCTGGTTTCATGTTTTGTTTCTATGTAGCTGTGTGACCTTGGGCAAGTCATTTGTTTTTTTGATTCTGTTCCAACATTTGCAAAGTGAAGGAATTGGACTAGACAATCCTCTAGCTGTAATTTATACCTTACACATGCTTCTGAAGTATTATTAGAAAAAGTCCCAGAGAGAGAGATGAAGATATGTATAAAGAGAGAATGTTGTACCAGGATCTGAAAATAAGGTATTTAATGCAATACTATATTAAATTTAGCTCTAAATTTTCTTGTAGTTGAGAAATATAGAATGCTTATTGTTTACCAAAGGAAAGGGAGCACTTTAGGGGCTTATTTGGCATTTATTCATATATTTTATTTTTATTACAAATGCAGCACTAATATGATTTAAAATTAAAAAAAAGCAAAATTTCATTCACAGTCTGACCACTTGAATAAATCTAAATATTTCCCTGCTAGTCTTTATTGATGTAAAAATTATTCAAATGGCCATTACTGGATAAAATTGTTTTCTGCTTTTATTTATTTTTTATTCAAGAAGATATGACCTTTAACCCGTGCTGCTGTGGCATTTGTACATGCTATGTTAAACATCTTCACTATATCAATTGGATATACTTAGCCATTTCTTGACCATTAAGTGTTTAGTTGGTTTCCAATATTTTATTGCCACCCAGAATAAGCAATTAATATTGCAGTCTTTTCCTCCTTTAGGATAATTTTCATTGCATCCCTGGAATGAAAAGATTAGGTCAAAAAGTATACACGTCATTTATTTTTTCAAGCCCTGACTCTGTACTTTCATATGAAATGGTGCTGCTTTTACTCTCTTGGGCACTAAATGCTAAGATAAATTTACTGTGGAAATCTTATGAAATGATTATCTTTTAGTTGTAAATGGCTCTTGATGGGTCTGTTGTAAGGCATAATTCATGCATGTAAAAGCAATGGAACATTTGGTTTTGGCTGGATTTGTTACTGGTATTAATATGCTTTTACTATTTCAGTGCACATAGTCTATGCAGGATAGAAGGACACTTTTTATTGAATTAGGAATAAACAGATTGTCTGAGCAGAAGTGATGAGGCATGAAGTGGGATGCTTAGGTGCACAGCACTTCTCTCCTGTCGGGGAAGTTGTCCAAGTTACGTTCCTTGTCTTTCCAAGATGTCACCATGACTGGACATCTTGGGACAGAGCTAGAATCATTCTAGATTGGGATGGCTGGGCTCAACTTTCCCACTATTTATGGCTTTAAAAATGTAAATGTAGCTGAGAGTTTCCTTCTTTCCTGGATCTCAAACAGCTTGGTCTCAAAGCCCTGTGCTTCCCCAAGTGTTTCCAGAGAAGACAGCCTGAGGCAGAGGAAGTGGTGCTAATTAAATCCTCCCTCTGTTTTCCAGGCACAGGAGCCTTTCGCAGATGTCTGTTGTTAGGTGTGTGTTCACACAGAGTGCACAAATACAGAAGCAGGCTTCCCTTCCCAATGGCACAGACCTTCCTTCACAGGTTACAGGGAGCTTTAGAAATGCCTTTCCTTCCAACACCCACTGTAATAGAGGTGGCAGACCTGTATAAACAGAGCAGGGAGCTGCCAGGGAGGCCAAAGTGCTGCAGCTGCACTAATCAATCTCTCTGTCACACACACACACTCTGTGCTTTGTATTCTCACACAGGCCAATCTCTGCCTTTTGTACACCTAACTTTTAAAAACTACCTAAAACCTCAGTAAAGCCCTTCCTGTTATATGACAGCATGGTGTCATGGTACACATGGGCACAGCATGGCTGGGAGTCCTGATTTAGAGTCCAGGTGTCGTCATAGCTATCCAAATGTGCCCCTGGCTGGGAGTCCAGGTGTCATCATAGCTATCCAAATGTGCCCCTGGCTGGGAGTCCAGGTGTGGCCATAGCTATTCAAATGTGCCTCTGGGTGGGTCGCATTTACCTTGCGATTCTCAGAAAGGTGAGGATGAAGTAAATAACCCACCCAGGGCTGCTGGGAGGATCAGAGGAGGTAAAAGACATATAATGCGAACTACAGAGGGCTTTCCACTTGTGAGTTCTCCTGACCAACCATGTTTGCTCCTACATTCAAACTGCCCAGGATGACAATGTATGTGTCCACATTTGCCTGAGACAGTACAGTCTACTTCTATCATTCTGGCATAATTGCTAATAGTACTGTTGTTATGCCAAAGTATTGAGGTTTAGGTAATAAATTATATGAACGTACTATTTTTACCTCTCTTGAATACACTAGCTAATCCCAATTTCAAGAGTAGAGACTTGCTGGGGTTAGGGGCTTTTTCTTACCTGCTGGGGTATCACAAGAACCGAGGATGTAAAATTAAACTTACTGTTATTTGATTAAGAACACGGAGGCAGCTCTGAGAATGTGATGGCATTTCCAGTTACATGATGAAACTGGGCATGAGACCCTCCTTCCAAGCAGCACTGATAGAGTGTGTGCTTACTGTAGGAATGGCTGACTACCTGCCTCAGTTTGACAATGGCGGCCTGATTTAGGTGCACATTTCTCACTAGGCTAGCACATGCCTTCTATTTTGTTTGTTTTGCTTTATATTTGCAAAATGGAAATCAATTTATTGTTTTTATTTAAATCATATATGATTATTGCTAGCATCCAGAAACATGAAAATAGAAAATAAAAACCACCTGTGACATTATCATCTAGAGATAACTCTTTTTTTTTTTTTTTCCTTTTTGTCTTTTTTCATGTCCGGCAATGGATCGCAACCCTCAGTGTCGCGCCCGCACCTTGCTCAGCCAGTGAGCGGGAACCGGTCTGTATGTGGGATCTGAACCCTTGACGGGAGTGCCACCGCGCTCCCAAGCGGCGCACTGTAGCAGTGTGCCACCGGGCCGGCCCCGAGATAACTCTTGTTAATATTTTATTTTACTTCTTTTCAGATGTTTTCTAACCTCTGTCATATCGTGAATGTATATACATAGGCAAATACATACATACCTATCTTCCTTCCTTCCTACCTTCCTCCCTCCTTCCTTCCTTCTTTCTTTCTTCCTTTCTTATGATTTTAAGAAATTTGAATAAATATTTGGATAGAAGAACTCTAGCCCTACATAAATGTGCTATAAACACTGAAATACGAGTTTGAACTGCACAGGTCCATTTATACCTAGATATTTTTCAACCAACCATGGATCAAAAATGCAGTATTTGTAGGATGAGGAATCCACATATATGTAGGGCCAACTTGTTCTAAACACAGGTTACACAGGGCTGACTGTAAGACTAGAGTATTTGTGGATTTTGGTATACATAGGGGGTCCTGGAACCAATCCCCTGTGTATACCCAAGGACACCTTTATTTTGTATCTTACTTTTTTCCTTTAATAATATATTTTGGATGTCTTCTCATGATAAAAATATACACACATTTTTAATGACTACATTGTATTTCACTATATGGTGTAATATATTTTATTCAGCCAATTCCCTACTGATGAATATTTAGTGTCACTACAATTTTTTGCTATTAAACATAATATTGCTGTCGAATGTTGCTATTATATACAATGGTTTTCTATTAGACAAAGTTGTGTATTTTTCTATTAGACACAATGTGATGAGAACCTTCTCTCTGTATGTATGTCTTTGGGCATTTGTCTAAGTTATTTTCTTATAATAAATTATTAGAATTGGAAATTTGAGGTTTAACAATATGCTCAGTTTTAAGTGCTCTCGTGCCCTATTACTACCCAAGAAACACACAAGAAGGTGTATTAGCATTGTTTTTAACTCTTAAATAAGCTTGTGGCCTGGTGGGTTTTCAAGCAAAAATGCTATGAAATCTTGAAGCGAAATTGTTTGATAATTATTTCATACTGCTTGTCTCTTGCTCATCTTCCAGTCTTCTGAGATTAAAGATGAGAAAATGGAACTACTTTTCTCTGTCCAGAGAGTCTCTGCTTCTCTCCTCTGGTAAAATGCCCTGAGGATCACGGTGGTATTTAGCAGCGTGTGTTATTGAGCTGCTTCCTTCAGAGCCTCTGTTCAGTTAAAGTGTGGAGTGTTCGTCAGTTTCAGGAATGTCATTTGCTCGTCATAGACTATTTTGCCATTGTTGGGACACAGGCAACTTTTTTCTAATGAGAAGATTGTTTCTTCTCTTGTTTTAGGCTGAAGAAATGGCAGCGATTGGGAGTTTCGAAGGATTCCAGCCCGTGTCTCTGAAGCAAGAGGGAGATGACCAACCCTCTGAGACCGATCACCTGTCCATGGAGGAGGGGGACCCAGGCAAGGAACCAGTGCCCGGGCAGCTTTCAAGGCAGTCAAGTGTAACCAAATCAACACTTTACCCCAATCCTTATCAGCAGCCTTATATCTCACGGAAGTACTTCGTTGCACGGGTAAAATCTTTGGTGCTCTTAAATAGTACATAAAACTTCTCCTTAAAAAATATCTTAATATCCTTCTATATACCACATGGTTTACCAACTGTTGTCACATTTTAATAAATGTAATAGTCACAGTAATTATAAAGTAGGTATCATCCGCATTTTACAGATGAAAGATCTGAACTTCAGATAAGTTAAGGGTCTATTTTTGGTCACACTAAGAGTATCAAGGAGAAGCAGGTCCTCCAACCTCCTTAGATCTTACAGTTCCTCAGTCTTGTGTTAATGCTAAACCTGGCCTCAAAGAATAATGATCTATTGTAAGATATTCATAGCAGCTAGAATATAAAGCTGCGAACCCAGTGTGGGTATTCACTGTTGGTTTGGAAAAGACATAGATATGGAGTGGAAAAAGCATTGCTGAGAATACACTGCATCTCAATGGTCTACATTGGGATTCTGGTATTATAAAATGGGAGCAGGTATTTTTAAATCTCAAACCTGTAGCTGAAGTCTGTAGCTGAGTGCTCTTACCTGTGCAATGGAGCAGGGAAAGTAAATGGATGGGCGGGTAATGAGGATAGGGCTTCTACATCGAGATGTAAAAAGACAATATTTTAAACTTCTAGCACTTGGATCAAGAGGAAAGAGATTCAAGGGTTTATACACGTTACTCTTTTGAGTTCTATTTTCTGCTTATAGATCGTCTTTCCCAATCCTTCAACAGTCTTGTTAACACAGTAGTGGTTAGCTCATGGGCTACAATCAACTAGGAGCAAAATTGGGGAATGTACACTGTGGCAACAGAAACTATCTAATTTTATGTGTACGTGGGACATCTCTGATGAAGAAAAGTATTTTAACTCAATCTCATAAAAAATGGGGGCTTAGATTTGTGACTATTTACAAAGCTTTAACTAATGAATCCCGATTTGGTAGCCCTTAAAATAGATTATCTTCAGTTAATATAAAATTTTAACTAAAGCAACTGTGTGTGTGTGTGTCTGTGTTTAAACATTACATATACTCTTATGTGCAAGGTGCTTTGGTAGGTGCTATACTATGTGTGTATTTGCATGAGTGTTTTTGCATATGTAGAGCATATGGTTTGTTTTTCAAAGTATGTGAACTTTATTGAATATGCAAAATTAAATTGTAAGATATACCTGCAAAGGAAATCAAAGAATCCCCTAGAATTTTATTTTCTTTGATATTGATGATGTCAGGGTTTGATGAGAGAAGAACACACTGAGTGAGATGGAATAAGGAATTTATTAGTGGGAGTTGGTGCAATTATGAGAGCTGGCTGAGAAGTCTATGCAAAGCTTTTGTCTTTACATCTGGTGATGGGCTTGAAGTCAGTATAGGTCAACTAGTTGGCAGTTGTAAAAAGGGAGTAGGGAATAAGGAACATGAATAGGGAAAAACTGCATGGACAAACTGGAATTCAGGAGGAAAAATGGGAACCTGTGTCTATCTCCCACCAAACCCAACCTTGATGTGAGTCACTTTCAGAAGCCGGTGCCTTTCCCACTGAGCTGTACCCTTAGGCAGTCCAGGAATAGGAGAGTCTTAGAGAGGAAGTCTGACTATAAAAAAAAGGAAATGCATGTTCAGGTGCTGTCCCTTGACATTAAGTGACCAGGTTATCAGTTGCCATGAACATGAGCTGCCACAGTGCATGATGACCTGCATTGGTCTTCAGTAAGGAAAAGAACTGATGTTTCACTTAGGCCTTTTGAGTCTTACACAAATGTCTCCTGTGGCCAACTTTAATTTGGAAACCTATAGAAAAGGCACTTCTAGAAAACATAGTACCAATTTTGTTAAATTGGCACAGTTCAATGCTACTACCTATGTTATTTATTATTTATTTATTTATTTTATTTTTCACATGATGTTTTAATTTGTGGGGCTCTATGTAGTTTATACAGTAAATTAACATCCTTTATATGTTTGGTTTTCCAGGGCAACACTGTGGGGTAGGCAGCAGAGGTCTTACCATCCTTATTTTAAGGTTGAACATATTGAAATTTCAGACGAACTAAGTAAGTGACCTATTTAAGTCACAATGTTAGTGGAAGAGCTGTGCTATAGTCTGAGTGTTTATTCCCTCCAAATCTCATGTGGAAGCTTGACCCCCCATGTGTCAGTGTTGAGAGGTGGGGCCTTTGGGAGGTCATTGAATTGTGAGGGCTCTGCCCTCATGAATGGATTAATCCATTCATGGATTGACAGGTTAATGGGTTAGTGAATGAGTGGGTTATCATGGGAGTGGTACTAGTGGCTTTATAAGAAGAGCAAGTGAACACATTAGCACATATTTTTGTCACTCTTACCATGTGACACCTTCCATTGCCATGGTACTCCACAGAGAGTCTTCTTCCCACCAGGAAGAAGGCCCTCATCAGATGCACCCCCTCAACCTTGGACTTCCCAGCCTCCAAAACTGTAAGAAATAAATTCTGTTTCTTCATAATTATCCAGTTTCAGAGGTTCTGTTATATGCAACAGAAAACTAATACAAACCTCAGCTGGATTCTGGATCTTCAGTGCTCTTCCTATCATGCACAGTTGAATTTATGACCCCTTTTTAAGGGTTTTCAGTGGACTGACTCCAATCAATGTAAACAACACCTTCTTCATTAGGTATATAGAAAACAACCCTAAGGTCTCAAACGTTTGTGAGGGAAAACCTTCTAATTTTATTAGTGAATCAAAAGTAGACCTGAGGACTCTTTAGGAGCTACAAAGGTGAAATCTCCAAGGCACTCAGCATTTTCTCTCCTTCAGACCAAGAGACATTTTAGGAAGAGTTTCCACTGGCAGTGAGCATGTGTATGTGCATTAACACAAGTGAAGGTAATAGCTTTTGGCTCAACCAAAATTTATAATGATGAGCAGTTTTAAAATAAAGGAATGATCCAGTTTTACTAGCTTGTAAATCAAAAATCTGCTGATGTAGTGGTAGTTGAGAAAATGGAGGGGAGTGCGTGTGTGTGTGTGTGTGTGTGTGTGTGTGTGTGTGTGTGTGTGTGTGTGTGTGGTGTATAAATTTCCTCATCTGCAAAGTGTGGATAAAATGCCAGTTTTATATAGAGGTTTAAATAAGCTAACTTTGTAAAAATTCTTAGCAGAGTGATGACAAATCTACAAACATTTCATAAATGGTATCTCATTGTTATTATAAATGCTTTCTCTCTCTTTGTTCTTGATTTTGCTTTCACATTTCTGTAACTGATCCTGGGGAATGACATTAAGATGCCTATGACCTCACTGTGACCTCCAGGGTGACATATGAATGTAGATGCGTAGGGTGTGCAGCAGTAAAGAGGAAGCTCATTCATTTTCTCAAGGGTTATTTAAATAAGACCAAGACTCTTAAAGACACAGATCTTTGAAAGAGTCATCACAAAGAATCACTTCTTAGAGCTGAAATGTGACCAACAGATGATGTGGTCCAGTGCTTCCCACTCTTTACAATGAAAGCAAATCAGATTCTGCATTTTTACAAATTCTCTGGCAGTACTGATGCTCTCTGTCCACAGACCCTACTTTGAGCATGAAGGAGCTGGTCAACACATTCATTTTCAGAAGGAAATAATGCTCAGAAAGAGGGAGTTCCTTGGCCCATGTCACAGCAGTTGGTGAGTGTTGACTTGCCCAAGAGACTAGTAAGTGGCAAAGCTAGGGCTAGAACCAAAGTTTCCCAATTCCCAATTCATAGTTCTACGACCCCATGCAGCAATGAAAAAGAAACCAATTTACTGCAGAGTAAGAATTTAAAGCATATGACAGAATGTCAAAAAGTTTGTGGAAAAACAGAGTTGGAAGAAAATACAAATCTTTCTGTGAACTTTTTGAAGTACCCTCTAATATGTTGCAAATTATGTTAAATAAAATAAGCCAGACACAGAAAGAGAAATATTACATGTTCTTACTCATAACAGGGTGCTAAGGAAAAAGGAAAGAAAGAGGGAGGGAGGGAAGGAAGGAAGGAAAGACGGAAGGAAGGAAAGAAAAAGAAAGAAAGAAAGAAAGAAAAGAAAGGAAGGAAGGGAGAAAGAAAGGAAAAAGACTACAGTAGTGCATTGAACTTTCAGAAGGAGAGAACAAACCTAAGGATACTAGTGATGGGGGGGGTGGGGAGTGATAGTTTGGGTGGATGGCATGGGGAAAGATTATGATTTGTAATGATGAATATGCTAATGAAAAAGAATATTAGCAAGTAAGCGAGTGAAGGAATTTCTTGATCAAGCAATTTATTTTATTAAAAGATTTTAAAATCATTGCACAGGAAATGGTTTATTGAAGACAAATTAGAAAACATGGACAAGCAAAATAAAATAAAAGTCATCGTAATCCACAGTTCAAAGTTAACCAATTGAATTGTATTGAATGTGCTCTTAGACATTTGGTGCATATCCTTTTCCACTTATTTTCTTACATATAAAATTTGTATAAAATGGATATGCCAAGTATTAATTCCTCTACCAATTACACAAGGGTACTTCAGAAAGTTCACAGAAAATTAGAATTAAAAGATAATATGTGTCCTGGGCCCCCTAGCCAGTGTGGTGGGGGTGCTGAGGGCTTCAGCCAAACCCTCCTGACATCTGCGTCCAGCCCAGAAATGACCAAGCCACTGCTGAAAGCCCCCTGGGTCTCCTCTGTAGGAATGAGGGGGGTGCCGTGGGCCTCGCTCATGCCCCCCCTTTCTTCCCACCCTATTTCCCTCCTCCTTCCTCTTTCCCCCTCCCTCAACTGCTCTGCAGCAACATTTTAGAATGAGGCATGGAGCTGGGGGAAGCCAAAACTAGTCACAACTAGACAAGCTGCCACCACCACCCCTGGTCCCTGCAGCGTCCTGAGGTGTGGAGCCAAGGGAAGCCATAACCCAGCCATGACCAGGTAAAGAGCCCATTAAAAACACCATTTTCTCATGGGTAGTCCACCAAAGTCACTGCAATTGCCTTGGCTGCCACAAAAGCAGCTAGTCTCTACAGCAGCAG